ATTGTTGTTACCATTATTTAAATTGTTGTTGCCTGATTGTTGTCGTTATTGTTGATTGTAAATTGTAATTGTGTTCATGTGTATCGTCGTGGTCCACCGGCTAGGCCAAAAATGCTCCGAGGTAGTACGATAGGTTTGACTGTCCTGGGCCGATCACGGATCATTTTTTTCTGCTAGGGGGCATTTTGTACCGATTTTGTTGTAAAAGGCAACAAATCAATACAGGTTAATGCGAAGAACAGTCAGCTGGTTTCAACAATAGATCAGTATAGACCAGAATGCACCACGCACTAAAGACGGAGAGGGGATAAGGTTTAGCCGGGCGGCCATCTGTTTAAATCAGTACTCAGTCCTTACCCAAGTCTCATCGTAGCTAGTTCGGTAAAATTGTTTATCGTTCGTGGAAATTAAATTCATTTCGCGGCGTTTGGTCGGCCAATCTTAAATTTCCTTAAAGTCGTTCAGCCTATATCCCTAAGGGATATAATTGCCTCGCGATCGGAAATTAGAATCAGTGTTTTTGTCAAAAAGTGCAAAAGTTCGTTACCGGCCAAACGCAGTCCGCCATTTGAAAATTTCTCAAACGATTCACGAGTTCAATTGATCGCGTGTTGTAGTATACCGGCTAGTTACGTTTTCCCATCCTTTCCCCTTTGTGTTATATTTGTGGACGTCCAAACTGTAAGTAATTTTGTGTATTTATTTGTTAAATTAAGATTTTCAGTGAGTCGCACTTTGGTAAATTTTCCTGTCTTGTTTTGTCAATTCATGTAGAATAAGCACATGTTCATAGGTTCGATCACAATTTGTTGATTTTTAAATCCATTCATATTGTTGCAATCCGCTTTATTTATTAGACTGTGATATTTCTATAGTATTAAGAATAAATATATGAAAATGTTTTTATAGGGTAATTCAGAGTTGCTTTGTAATATTTTTATATAGTATTTGAATTTTGCACAGAGTCATTATTAAAAGTACAATTCGTTACAGAGTGTCACAATCAGCATTTTAATTTGGGGGAATCATTTAATATCAAAGGAGGGATTAGGTTGCTGGTTCGGCTGAATCGGGAAGTGTTATCGGAGGCTGTGCCAGTTTGCATATAGACGAACCGCCAAAGTGCCAAATTAGCTATAAAACAATAAGCAACGTTCCAGTAAATATTATTACGATTAAACACAATACTGTTTAATCAGTTGACCTTCGAGAATCGACCTTCATATTTACATCGTTGGCCAACGAACAGGACTTGTTTGGCACTGGTCGTCTCAAATTAAATTAAATACCACTCCTCCGTTGACACCTTCGAGATCGGTGTGAAACCGCGCCAAATATTCCCCTTTGAATAAATCCGTTCAACATTCTCAGACAGATCAATTCCGTCTGATTGTGTCACTCAAGGTCATATTTTTATATTGCACCACACAATCAGAAACTGTCAAACTGGAATCATTGTAAATCTTAAATAATGCTTAATAAATCAAATTGTACTCACTTTTAGTTCTCAATAACCTGGTAGTTCTTTATTATATGCTATAGTATCAAATTGGTAAACAAAAGGTAATTCAGTAAATAATAGGCCACTACAAAAGATTCACCTTTTAAGTGCAACACTAAACACTAGTGTAGTAGTGAGCAAGTAAATTCGGTGTAGAATTAAGACTGGTAAATTGCTCTCATTAAAGGTATTACTTTGTTGGAAGAACTACAAACAGTGCCAAGGGCGTCCCCTAAGGACCTTTTGGGAATATTTATATTTTGCAGGGCCCACTCATATTTTTTCAATAACATCAAGCTTCCACTGCCAAAAAGCTCTGTCTGATATTTTTATTTTCTGGAGTTCTTCCAACCCAGGGGCAACCAACATTTGTAAAGATTCATTTGAGAGCATTGCAAGGAGCAAATATATTTAAATACAATATTTAAATATATAAAAGTAGTAGGAGGGAGTTGTTTTTATTTTTCTTTACAATAACAACAAACTTGCCAAAACATACAAAGATGGAAATGTGAGAATGTTAAGACCCACAAAAAGGGGCTTAAAATGTGTTCTTCTATTCACACTACAAATTAACCTCACCGCCTTCTTTTGTAAAGTAAAAATCAACCTGTTAGCATAAAAACTGTTGGCCCACAGTGAGGTACCATAGGACAAATTGATGTGGAGTCCCTTTTGTTCGCGGACGATGTTAAGATATTTGTTGAAGTATCACGCCCTGAAGACACTCTCCATCTACAAGCTAGCCTAACCACTATCCACGATTGGTGCGCTTCTCTAACAACATCCTGAACGTGTCAAAGTGCTCCAGTATGACTTCCAGTAAGATTCGCGCTCCATACATGGCTGAGTATTCCATCATACACCAACCTCTGAAGTGAGTCTCAATGGTGAAAGACTTGGGAGTGATTTTCTCATCGGACTTCTCCTTCGACGAGCATGTGGATTACTTAAAAGAGCCAACCAGTTGCTGGGCTTCCTATTTCGGGTTACCCATGGACTAACAAATGGCATTGCTTTAAAGACTCTGTATTGCTCCCTTATCCGACAGCTGTTGTAGTACGCCAGCCCAGTTTGGTCACCCTTCCACCTAGGGCCCATCAACAAACTCGAAGGGATCCTGAAGAAATAAATCAGATTTATCGGTGCCCGTCAAGGCATGCGGTACCATGAAGTCCCAGTGGCCGTCTTCCAAAACAATTTAAACCTGGTAGATCTTCACTTGAGACGAGGTGTGGCAGACCTACCTTTACCTTTACCTTTATCGGTTCTGCATCGTTGCCCAGCCATAGCTGGATAGATTGCGTTACGAAAAATTAAAACTTTAAAACTTTGACTATATACACTATATACAAGGTGGTGGATCATGATGTCCAAACTGAGTCAGGGGTTTCAAAAAAATTCCCTGATGGAGTAAAGGGGCCTAGTCTTAAACTTTCAACTCCCTAGACATGTGCGTTACGAACGCTTTAACTGGTAGGCCTCTGATCTCAACACTGAGACTATTATACAGCTTTATGGTCAGAGTGGGGAAACTATTTGCAGTCTTACTGAGTCGATGGGATGGAAGGTCAAGTTGGCTCCGTCCGGTTACGAGTATTGCAGCTATGAAGGTCACCCCTGAAGCTAAAATCATCTAAGTTTTTCTTTATGTGTACAACACACTGTTTAAGACGTACTGGCTGAACAATATCATAACTCCTAGACGCATGAAAAGATGTCTACAGTGGACGTCAGCTTTGCTAGATGTTACAATTCTGAGTGCCTTCTTCTGGAGTCTGAAGGATCTCCTTCAGACCTCCCTGAAGGTCTTCCAAAACAATTTAAACCTGCTAGATCTTCACTTGAGACGCTGTGTGGCAGACTTTGTTTTCCTCCACAAACTTCTCAATGGCCAATTTGACTGTCCCGCTTTACTTGTCGAAGTGGACCTCCGTGTGCCTTCTAGAACCCGTTCACAACTGTTCGGCAAGGAGGCACTTCAGTAGCCAATATGATTATCACGCTCCTCTTGCAAGATTTCTTCGTCTTTGTAACACTTTTGGGGCCAGTATCGACTTCTTCGGAGACATGATGTTCTAATCAAGGTTAATGATACTGTTAAGGACTGGTCAGCTGCAAATTCACTTTGTCTTAATGAACAGAAAACTCAAAACTTGGAATTTTGTTTGAGGCCATACGCCCATGAGAGTATTAATTCTGTTAAGTTTTTAGGAATTCTTCTTCAAAGCAATGTAAAATGGGATAAACATATCACAATGTTATGTAGCAAATTATCTAAGGGAACTTTTATGTTGATTAGGCTAAGATCGTTTGTGTCAACTGATATTCTCATTACAGTTTACTATGCCTACCTTCATAGTTATATATCATATGGAATTATTGTATGGGGTAATGACACCAATGTTAAGGAATTGCTAATTGAACAAAAGCGTGCTATTAAAGTCATAGCAAATGTTGACATGAGGACTCACAGTAAGCCATTGTTTAGGAAATTCAACATACTCACTGTACCTGCAATGTATATTTTTGAATGTCTGATGTTTATTAAAAGAAATTTACATACTATACCTACAAATAAAAATGTTCATAACTATTTCACTAGAAACTGTAACTCACTTAGAATTTCCCAGTGTAATTTAAAAATTGCTCTGAATTGTTTTGTTGAAATGGGAAAAAAACTGTATAATTCTCTACCCTCTCATTATAAATGTTTAGAATTTAACTGTTTTAAGAGGAACGTTAAGCACCTTTTGATTAGTATTAGTCCATATGACATAAATGAGTTTTTCCTTTATGTTAATGACCATGTATAGTATTACTAAAAATGTCTGTGATTATCTGTGGACTGTTTTATAGTTATATTTATTGTAACTAGTTGACACTGCTATGCATTGTAAAATGTTCTGGCAATAAAGATTTGATTTGATTTGATTTGACACCACAGGGACTTTTTGAAGGAAGGCTACGGTCCGGTTGACTTCCCTGCGCCAGCAACAAAATTTATTATAGGTTGTTATATTTGTTAAGTATAGATAGGTTAGAATATTTATTAATCAATGTGCATGTAAACTGGGTGGTGTTTCTTGTTCTCTTGTCTTGTTAAATGTTAAACTCTTATAAAATGTTTATTTATATATTTATCTGTTATTCATCATACATTTTTCCTGTTAAATATCTATTTATTGAATTTTATAACTGCATATTTATTTATTAATTTAAGATTATAACTAGCGTTACCAATAATTTTTGTAATGGTCTTTGACCGTTGGAATGGAAATTAAATAAAAGAAAATATATTAAACAATACTCTCCTAGGCTACCTGCACTATTACTGTATGTTAAATCATATTTTATAGTACTAACCTTTAACCACTTCAGTTTACAAATTTGGCTGTAAGGAAGTCTTTATCAGCTCAGCTGACAAACTTTGCTCTTGCTCAGTCAGTGCTCTATAATCTGTCAACGTTGGTGTTGGTGCGACGAACGTCGTCGTAAAAAACAACAAGCTTAAACGTCAAGGGAAAGCGAATCCATTGCATTTTGCATTGCATTGAAATTGAAGGTGTATGCATATTCTTTGCTCACAAGTTACTGCTATCTGCTAAATTTAAATTATTTATGGTAATATTATTTGGCATAGTTAGTATTTGTATGTCAAAATTGTATCGGTATCCATTCCTATCTGTTTGATTTTGATAAGAGTTCCGAACGAATTTAGGCCCTACGGTACTAATTTGCTAATTTCCGTTCAAGGTCTAGTAAAAACCTATTTGATCAGCAGAAATTAAAAGAGGGATCCTACTGTTAAATTTTAATTAATGAGTTGAGCTTTTTTCATAAGAATTATAATGAGTCAGTTCCACAGTTATATTATTGGACGTTTTCGTTGAAAAAAGAACATCATCAAACTTGGATTTTGCATTTTTGATATTGCCTGGTGTATGGATTGAAGTATGGATTCAGAATCTGTTCTTGTAAGTAATAGCTATGTTTGTCTTGGTTTGGTTGATCCTATGTCTCTGTTGCAGTAATTAACTTAGTATCTCAATAACAAAAATAATCAGCCAAATTACTTCATTAACTTTTTTTATAGGCCTAAATTAGACTTAGGCCTAGCCTAACCTAAACTTAAAAAAAATAGTTAAACTAAAATTAATAGCAGTGCTCAATTAATTTATCTTCTCTCCATCTTCTTCTATTCTATAAATTTTATCTCTGCGGGTACACTTCCATATCTGTTGGCACAAACAATCGAATGAGTAATATTGATTATTCGATTGTTTATTTTGATATATCGTTTGGTTAGCTAGGTTAGGTTAACCTTACATAACTAACCAAACGATATCAAATAATCGATATATCGATCGATATTTTCATTCGGTTGTTTGTGCCAACAGATAGGGAAGTGTACCCATCTCTGCCCATAGGCAATTGTGCCTAGCAAGATTAAACAGGGTTGGTACGGTCAGGGAAAACCTGGAAAAGTCAGGGAATTTGGTTGGTCTGGAAAAGTCAGGGAATTGTGAAAAAAATTCTGAGATTTAGGCTATCCTGAAAGACTACTTTTTTTACAGAAATGGCACATAGGTACTGCACCTAAACATATTTTAATCAGGGTGATGACTAATGGCAAAAAGAATGACATAAGCACTGATGCACATTTTTATATCGATAGCCTAGTTATTTATCGGTACGGGGAGGGAAACAATATGTAAGTTACATAGTTTGAAACAAGTTTTGTATTTGGGAGTGATTAAATAATTTAACTTGAATACTTATTTACATTTTAGCGAATTTCCCATATAGGGAATAAGCTATTACCGTAGTACTCATGGTAAGACCTGGACCTGAGACCGATGTACTTTTTCGTTTTGAGGTCCCTAGAGGCCAAAAACACCCCATTCAAATTCATGTTAGGTGTGTCCGTTGGCACAATAACTCTAGCAAAAATGATCTGATTTTGACATTTGGTACAAACGTGTAAACCTTCATTTATTTGAACGAGTTCGTGAACCAGCATGATCGGATTATGGGAACGGGGTTTTATGGGGTAAAAATAGGGTTTTCCCATTTTGACCTTATAAACACAAAACTTTCTCAATTTCTTTCCAAACCACTTTGTAGAGCTTATAATTAAACATTTTCGGGGAAGGAACCCCCCCCTCACAATCCAGGGGGTTCTTCCGTACCCCCTAGCCACCCTTATGTAATAGCTAGATGAGAACTCATACCCTTGGGGTAACAGATGAAGAACCGGTAAGAAATAAAAGGTAGGCTAAGACCTAAACAAATAATTTTGGGCTTTTTCTATTTGATGATTTGTCTGTTCTGTAGCCCGGGATCTACTTAACTTTAAGTTAAATCCTATCTACGAAGCTTTACAAAGGACCAGAATACTAAGTTTCCAGACAAAAATATCATTATTAACTTTAAGGCAAATGGTAGGGCCTACTTTTCTAGGCCATAGCCTATTCTAGTTTCTTATCTTCATTTAATCTACACACAATGATAGGCCTTATCAGATACTCTTATTTAAGGTTGTAAACTATAGTTATTTCTGTAGGCTTAACCAAGGCCTATAGTTAGCCTATAATTCTATCACACAAAAAAACATATCAAAAATAGGCTACATCAGGCTACACTTACACATCCCCTTGTCTTGTTAAGGGGATGTTGGTAAAAAAAGTAGCAGGTAAATCTGAGCAATTACTTGGTCAACCCCAAACTTGTTCATATTTTACTACGGTCATAAGGTTGTTCTCAGAAAACAAGAAACATATAATTCAAGCCCCGCAAGGTTATGAATTAACCTAACATAACGGGCCTTCCGCGCATCTCCTGCAAGCCACTGTTATCGCGTGGACTTTGAACCTTCTTATCGCTCGGCAACCTGTACGATGGCCTTGCGGGGTTTGAATTATATGTTTCTTGTTTTCTGAGAACATCCTTATGACCGTAGTAAAATATGAAAAAGTTTGGGGTTGACCAAGTAATTGCTCAGAATTACCAAGTAGCACTACCTAATAAAAATAGTAGCCTAATACTTTTAACTTATTAACATTTATTTTTAAATTTTACTGTCTTTTTACCTTTTTCAATACAGTATTTAGAGAAGTTTTGTGTCAGTTTAAAGCCAGGCCTACTTTTAACTTTATTCATTATTCTAATAACAAATAACCTATTAGGCACAATCAGAGTGACAAGTGTTTTATCCATGATTGCTTATTCACATAGGCCTACCAGTTCTAAATTAGTTCATAAGCTAAGTTATGTATTCTGAGTGCATGGTATTTTTAAGGCCTAAACCGGATTCCCTTCTTTTCCCTCTTTATCCCCTTTTACAATCAATTGTGGTTATAAAGACATTTTTAAACACAAAAAATTGTGATTTCAGCTTTCTTTTAAGAGTAAATTTTAGCATCACTGAGTGAAAGAAATTTTTCATTTCATCATCGTCTCACAAAGAGCCACTGAGGATTACGCAAGATGGTTGGTATTTAAAACATTTAGCCTACTTGGTGGTGGCGGGTATTTTCTAAGGTCCATAAACCTAGCCTATGAGCTTTCTTAAATTAAAAAAAAATCCTAATCAGAAGGATTTTTTCTTCAGCTAGACAAGTGTATCAATACTAAACGTCATGTGTGGCATTTCATTACAGACATTTTTAAATCTTCCTCTCGGCAATTTTGATGTAACTTACCTACTTATTAAGCTTCTAGCATAAATACTGTACAGTTACACAAACTTGGCCTAATTGGGGCTTGACAGTACTGTAGGCCTACCGAGTTTGAGAAATGCCTGGTAATTTTGATGAGGCCTAAATCCTACTAATACTAAGCCGTACTTGTATCAAACTTTATTTCTCGTATTCAGATAACGGTGTGTATTTAAAACACCATAGCATTGACATAAATTCAACTTATTGAAGAAAATACAGCATGGCTTATTTTTATAAAAAAGTCTGTGGTGCTGAATGACTGGCTAGCACTAGTGACTCATATATTCACACGTTTAAGTTTCCAAAATTTTACTATAATTTGCTGTTCAAAGAATTCCTTGTAAAAAATAATTAAAATGATACTTTAAACCCACAGTCCCTAACATTTTAAAATTTGCATGGCTTTGATATTTTTAAGTCTTTTTTAACATGACTCTTTATCTTTGTATGTCTTTTGAGTTCTTACTATCCTGATTTGATCCTGTAAATTTTCCACTATCAAAAGAGGTATGGTATATTTTTTAGCCTATTTAGTATGACGTATAGTTAAAAAAACAAAGAGGTGTAACTTAATTATTATGTTTCCGTAAAATATATTTGACATCTGTGAAAACCTGTTTGTTTTTGGCCTGACATTTTGATACAGACAAGTGGGATGACGTTGGGTTTGGGGTGACATTTGCATTTTTGAAAAAAGTGTTCTAATCGTTATCACTAACATAAATGTTTTGTTCTAGAAGGTTTACAATCACACCAAAAATAGTTTAGAATGTCTAGTTTTTGTAGTAGGTAGGCCTACAGTTTAAAACCTTAAAAAATATAGAAACTGACTCTACTCTTTTCCCTCGAAAAAGGAGACCTAAAAAATTACGGGTCCTCAGAAAAAGTTCTAACACACTCAATAAATTGTACCAAACAGATAATTAGACATATTCTCAAGTAGAAATTCTCTGAATTTTAAGCCTCTGGCCTTAATAGGAGCTGAGTTAGTCATTGAAAAAAGGGTCGACTTTGGGAAAACAGAGGTGACTTTGGGTTACTCATAGAATACACCCGATGACTGGCTTTTTCTTGGTTATTCTCTGCAAACTTGTACAACCATGCATGCTATGATTTTTTTGCTTGTTTTATATTGTCTCTTTTATTTGTTCTTAAATCTTTTTCACAGGGATTTGCTTGCAGGTTGCAATTTCGAATGTACAGTAGAGAATTAATCAACCCATTTTTAAGTTTAAATTTTTCTGTTGCATTCGTTAGTCAATTATATCATCCTATTTCAGTACATCCTTAGTTTAAATCATTATTCCTCTTTGTTTTTTTTTAATTGACTTTTTACAATCTTTGCCGCTAAATGTGCTCATCCCATGCATTTATGCATGTATATAAATTGTCGTAACTTTTTCCATTTATGCTAACTCCAGACATTTGATAAAAAATACTCAAAAAAGGGCAAATTCTTGGCTTTTAGAAAATACCACCAAATTCACCCCTTACTTGGTGACATTGGTGTTACAGTGTAAAAACCATGGCTACCCAATGTCACCCTAAATCACGAGCTGACTGGGCCATACATAGGCCCCCCTCAAAATATTTCAATAAGAATAAAAGCTTGACCCAAAGTCACCCAATTTGACTGTAGCATAAGTTATCGAAATGTAATGCTTCAACCTCTATGCTGAAAAAAAAAACATTATAATAAATTCGTGGTTATCCTAAATTAATTATTCTGCAAAAAAGCTGTCAAATATATATTACAAGCTAATGCTAGTAAGATTTTCTCATAGGGATTCACCAAAATATGTATAATAATGTATAAGCTATAATTTCAGGCACCTCTGATTGATGATGACACATTGGGTTTTGGTGAAGAGGAGAACGCCGGTAAACTTACGTGAGTAAATTTGTTTTCTTGAATGATTCTTTAAAAAATAAGATTTTATTGTTTTATATATCTTAAAAACTAATTACAGTAGAACACCGGTTAGGTATCCGAATGCTAGTTTTTTCATCTGAAACGTGCTTTAAGCAAAATCGCTGCCAAAGACGGTGAATTCAAATTTACTGCCGGATGCCAACATTACGAGAGCGGCCGGCAGGACTGGCAGGAGCACACACGGCACAATGCTTCACGCAAAACTCAGCGACATGGTAGATTGTGCTGTCACCTAGGCTACACATGTATACACATAACCTCACTTTGTGTCAGTGACATCAGTGATTGTTGTTTGTACAATGTGTGTCATTAAAAATTCCTCTCCATTTCCTGTTTTAGTCTCTCCAAAACAGTGTTTTATTTGCAACCACCGATTAAACATTGTGGTAGATTAAGTAAGGATTTTATCTTATCTAACAAGGGCAGGCTGAGATCATGAAGCACTTCATCCGAAAATCAAATTCTTGTGCACCCCAGACAATTGTTTTCTTGATTACCGGTACCTTACAAGTTCAGGCGTCCAATGAATGTCTCTAGCTTCCCAATTAGTTCATCCTCGGGAAGATATCTTCCTCTAGCCACATTACCAAGAGTTATTATTCTAGCATCAGAGAGCTGGTCACAATAAAAGAGCAGGTGATTGGCTGTTTCCTCTGACCCATCACAGTGCCTACAGATCGGTTCACCATCAAATAAGCCCTCCCGCTGTAAATGTTTCCTGAATCGCCCGTGACCAGTTATCAGTTCTACAATTAATTTGATTCTTATGGTCCATCTCTCAAGAGGTCAGAGCCAACCTTTTTAGAAGGCCTTAACAGAGTAAGCTTTGCTGACTCTAAGAAGGGGAGTATCAACCCAGCGTTTGCGGTGCTTTTCTTTGGCTCATGACGCAATCGAAGAACATGCGCTATTTCGTGAAATGCCACAGAAGGGTTGTATAAAACCCCTGATAGCTGGTAACTATCATTGTTGCTGCAGAGGCAGTCTTTGCCACTCTGTCTGCAGCTTCATTTCCTTTTATGCCTGAGTGCCCAGGCACCCAGCAGAGATCATAAGCGTAAGATCATTTCTCCTACCCAACTCAGACACAGAAGCAAGGCAATCCCACACGAGCCTTGAGTTGAATTCATAAGAGTTTAGTGCTTTTAAGGTGGGAAGATGTTCTCGAGCCCAAACCAAGATGGCAGTGACCTCCCCTTGAAAAACAGTTGGGTACACACCCCCATGGGAAGACAAATGCCAGTGCCTTCATTTATCCAATGCACACCTGCTCCAGTGCCCCCATTTTTGGTCATAGAACCATCAGTATAGCATTCTAAATCACCTGTAGGGATGGGCCCTTTTCCGCCAGACCAATCCTTCCTATCTGGTATTAGTACTTCGAAAGGCTTTCCAAAGGAGTGTTTTTTGGAGATCTGAAGGCAGTCCAACTCATCATTGTGTACCACCTGAACAATTTTGGAGTGCCCTTTATTGTTTCCTGTGGTTATCCATAAGTTTACACAGCTAAGGCGTAGAACTGATTTTCTTGCTACCACCTAGATAAAAATGTCGATGGGTAGCATATCAAGCATACAATCTAGGGCCGCTCCAGGACAGCTGCTTACTGCCCCAGTTATCATTATAAGAGCAAGCCTCTGAACTCCTGCTAAAGCTTTGACAGCTGCAGTAGATTCCATCTTAGGCCACCACACAAGCGAACCATATGTCAAGTCAGGTCGGACATTGCATTACTTAATTGCATTACTGAGTGTGCTATTCTATATTGCTCTATGTACAGTAACTAAAGATGATCACGGTGATATGGTCAGATATGCCGAAGATCTTGGTGATATCAACACCTGTGCTGACGATCACGGTAGCAATACAGTAAATTAAAGCTTCTACAATGATTGTAAATATTGTTCGTTGCTCAAATAAATTATATAGGTACTTTATGCCAAGGCTGAAGGATTTTAATTACGCTTCACAAAGAAATACAGGCATTTTTCGTTGATGATCGATTATCTGAAAGTTGATTATCCGAAAACCTTTCTACCCCAATTGTTTTGTAATAACTGTAATGCTGTACCTTAATTATGATTGCTGTATAAAGTGAAATAATTTCATGTACGGTAAGGCTATTACGAGTTGCAAATTGCAATACAGTTTTATGAAAGTTAATATGCATATTAATCTTGTAAAATGTTTGTATCATATTTCCCAGGCACCCATATGTAACGTTCTTCCACCTGTTTTTCCGAGGCACTGCTCTCGTCATGTACTTGCTGTGTGGATGGTTCAGTAAGAGTTTCATCACCAGTTTTGTCATTATTGTTTTGCTATTATCTATGGACTTTTGGACTGTCAAGAATATTACAGGTGGGTTTCTTAAAATTGTACATATGATGATACTTAGTTGTTGTACGATTCATTTGTTTGTTTAACATAACAGGACCGATTGTAGACAAAACCCTTGATACATTTTAAATGTAGATTATATTTTTGGTGCTTTTTAAATTGATTAGTGAAATAGTATATTTTGTACCTAGGGACAAAATGAGGTTTTGCTGGCTCAAGATGGTTTTTATGTTTAAGATGAAACCATTACGGTCCGTAGCACGAACGCTATTTATCACCATACTATACCCTATAGTAGATAGTAATGTACCAATCCTAGACCAAAAAAGGAAGACTTTAATAATTTAATGAAATTTGTTGTTTTTCAATACTAATATGTTAAATTTTTGCCACTTTTAGGCCAATTTCTAACATTTTCATATTTTTCTAGAAAAAGTATATAATTTTGATGAAATTTTCATGAATATGTCTATACTTTCCATAAAATTGACTACAAAACAAAATGTTTTTAAAAACAAGTAAAATTTTAAAATTTAATGAGTAGTTTTTATACAAATTTAACTAAAACAGTTTCTTTATCTTTGAATGTTTTAATTTCAGTAATAATTAAGTGTAAATCTTTTTTATTTAATTCTTTAATTGTTTTTTCATCAAATATATTAATAAATCTATGAGGCAAATGAACTTTACATTTTTCTAATTCAACAATAACTGTTGGTCCATATTTATCTTTAACTTTTTCAAATTTTTCTATTTTATATTTTGTATTCAATTCTAAACTTTTTATTGGTTTATATTCTTTGAATTTACATTCTCCAATATTATTAATCTCTTCTAGTAGATCCATTTATTACAAAAATAATTATAGAAATTTTAAACAGTTAATAATTGAAATATATGAAAAGAATTTTAAATAATAAATTCCATAAATTTAATAATTTATTTAATAATTAAACCTTAAATAAACCTTTACAAACTTGTTTTTTTAATCAATTAATCTACTTCAAGATTTTTATGATATAAAAAACTTTAATAATTTTGATAAATTTCATATTTTTTAATAGTTTATTTAATAATTAAACCTTTATAAACTCATTTTTAATCATTAACGCGTCGCGATTTTTGCGACGCGTCAAATATTTAATAAATTCCATAAATTTAATAATTTATTTGATAATTAAACCTTAAATAAACCTTTACAAACTTGTTTTTTTAATCAATTAATCTACTTCAAGATTTTTATGATATAAAAAACTTTAATAATTTTGATAAATTTCATATTTTTTAATAGTTTATTTAATAATTAAACCTTTATAAACTCATTTTTAATCATTTATTAACGCGTCGCGATTTTTGCGACGCGTCAAATATTTAATAAATTCCATAAATTTAATAATTTATTTGATAATTAAACCTTAAATAAACCTTTACAAACTTGTTTTTTTAATCAATTAATCTACTCTAAGATTTTTATGGTATTAAAAAACATGAAATTTATTAAAATTATTAAAGTTTTTTTATACCAAAAAAATCTTAGAGTAGATTAATTGATTAAAAAAACAAGTTTGTAAAGGTTTATTTAAGGTTTAATTATCAAATAAATTATTAAATTTATGGAATTTATTAAATATTTGACGCGTCGCAAAAATCGCGACGCGTTAATAAATGATTAAAAATGAGTTTATAAAGGTTTAATTATTAAATAAACTATTAAAAAATATGAAATTTATCAAAATTATTAAAGTTTTTTATATCATAAAAATCTTGAAGTAGATTAATTGATTAAAAAAACAAGTTTGTAAAGGTTTATTTAAGGTTTAATTATCAAATAAATTATTAAATTTATGGAATTTATTAAATATTTGACGCGTCGCAAAAATCGCGACGCGTTAATAAATGATTAAAAATGAGTTTATAAAGGTTTAATTATTAAATAAACTATTAAAAAATATGAAATTTATCAAAATTATTAAAGTTTTTTATATCATAAAAATCTTGAAGTAGATTAATTGATTAAAAAAACAAGTTTGTAAAGGTTTATTTAAGGTTTAATTATCAAATAAATTATTAAATTTATGGAATTTATTAAATATTTGACGCGTCGCAAAAATCGCGACGCGTTAATAAATGATTAAAAATGAGTTTATAAAGGTTTAATTATTAAATAAACTATTAAAACATATGAAATTTATCAAAATTATTAAAGTTTTTTATATCATAAAAATCATGATGTAGTTTAATTGATTAAAAAAACAAGTTTATAAAGGTTTATTTAAGGTTTAATTATCAAAAATATCTTTTTATATATTTCAATTGTGAAATCATAAAAATGTTAACAAAATGATAATCTTAAGATAAAAAGATAAGTATTGATTTAAATTGAAAATAAATATCACCAATGAAAAGCTTGTTAAAAATTAATGCTATTTCATATATTATACATTTCTGTACGATTAAAGATAATGTAAAAATCAACAAAAACAAATTGCGTTGTAAATATAATGTTATTGAAGGAATATTAGTCTATGGCCTAATTTGTTTGGTCGATCTTTTTATGAAAATAAGTGATTGAATAAAATAATAACCAGTTGAATGTTAGTAAATTGCAGTGTGGATTAAAATAATTATTTTGATTTATCTAAACTAATCGAAAAGTATTTTATAATTAATGCTTAAAATGTATAATCAATGGTTAAATAGTTAGCTAATGAAACTAGCCGATTGAACAAAAAAAAGTGTCAAGTTAGCAAAAATCTCGTCATTAGCTATCATAATGGGTGTGGCTCTGTCGACTGGCTGATTTTCTATGTATATTCTCATTTTGTTTTATGAAGAAATATTTAAAATAAGAGTTTATTGATGGTAAAAGTTTATTATTTATTGATTGAAGATGAAGTATAAAGAAGATTAACTATGAAAATTGTGAAACTATCGTGTTGTGAAGTGAAATGTGTTTGAAGTGTTCATCACCATATTTGGATTGTTCAAGTGTTTTTAACTAATATTTTAATAAGTAAAAGTGATTTATTGAACTATTTATAGACTATTTTTATTGTTTGTAATCATAACTTGTTTATAAAACAATCAGAATTTTCAAGGTCAAGTGATTGCTGCTTTGTTTGATAGTTTTTTGCCAAACCATATGATATTCAAGGACAGTGTGCTTCTAAAGCACGCTTTGATAAATCTGAATTGTACAGTAAATATTTTGTGTAAAAAAATTTAAGTGACTGTGCTGTTCTATTTGACAGTTTTTTTTTTTTTTTTTTGCCAAACCAAATGATGTTTAACGAAAGCGTGCATTGAATGCACGCTTTGATAAATCTGAAATGTTCAGTAAATATTATTTGTTTATGTTTGTGTGAGTTATTTTGAATTCCTATTCAGTAATTTAACTGTTAATATCGAATGTTTCAACTTATTATTCGATTGTTAGTATCGAATGAAATTATTTGAAATATATTGTATGTTATAACTTGAGTGTTTTTAAACCAATCTTAACCAAATTTGAAACATACACTCATTGAATATTAAAGAATGTTTTTGACTTATGTTAAGGGTAGTTTCATCCCTTATTTTGTATTTTATTTATAAAAATGTAAAAAATTATTGAATAATTCTAAAACTTAAAAATTATGAAAAATTATGTTTAAAATCAATGTTTTTACTAAAATTTTCCAATTTAGGGTGAACTACCCTTAAACTAAAAACCTTAATAACTTCTTTGTTTTTAAAGATATTTTCATGAAATTTGGTATGATATATCTATAAGGTAAGTACAAATTTATTAAATAATAAAATTTAAAATATTTATTTCTTGTGACCTTGAAAATCAAAAATTTTTATTTATTAATATTTTTTTATGAAACAAATTTTAAATTAACAATAGTAGTCTCATTATTCATAAAATATAATAATATTTTGAAAAATATGTCAAAAAGTAGTAAATAAATGGTGGTTTTATAATAATTTTATTTGATTTCAGTTATATCATTTTTAATCACATTATACTCTAATAATCTTTCAGACACAACAACCACATAGCAATTAGTTTTACTAGCAACAGTTATATCATAATCAAAATCCATATTTATAATAATATCATTCTTTGAACCAGAAATATTAACAGGAGTTTTTGTTGTATCAATCACATATAATGGTCTATTTTCAATGAATTCTGTTGGATCATAATACATTTCACTATTGTTATAATAAACCTTTTTATAATCTTGATACATTTGATATACAATTCTAAATTTTTCATTATTTATATCTAGATTTATTAATTCATCAGGATAATAGTGACCATTTAATTTTACTCTAATATTTTTAATATACATACTATCAAATTTTGAAGTGTCATATAATTGATCATTAGTTCTACCTTTTTGAAAACCAATTATTATAAATTTTGGATTATAGATGTTTCGATAAATATTTGTTATATCAAAACTAACTGTTTTTCCAGTTATTGTCTTTTGTTCAATACATTGCCAATGATTAAAGTGAAATAGTATTTTTTCTTTTTTAGTTATTTCATTAATATATTGAATTTTACTTGTAGTTTTATACTCAATTATTGGAACTCTAATGAAAAAGTCATCAATAATTACTTTTCCAACACCTGGTAATGTAGTATCATCAAAAGTTCCATCAACTTTTTTAGTTTTCCATCTAAAAATAGCATCATTATCTTCAGATCTAACAAAACATATATTGAATCCTCCTTTGTATATTGGAACATTAACATTTTCAAAGAAACCTAATCCAAAATGTGATAGATTACCCACAGCTTCAAATGTTTTTTTGAAATCTGATTGAAATCCATTACAAATGTTGGATACTGCTTCTGTTTTTGAATAAGTAACAGTACCTTTTATTGTACTCAATTGTCCAGGATATTCAATTTCCTCAATTAATTTATTATGTTTTCTAATTTCAATTTTTGAAAATAAGAATGGTACAAAATTATTAATCAACTTTACATTATCTGTAGCACCATAGTCTCTATCATCAGATTT